TTTTTTCACTTTGCATTTTGTGAAACAAAAAGAAAAAGATCTAAAATTTAAGCGAATTTGCAGGTTATTGAGTTATTCTTATTTTTCGCGCTCAAGCTGACTAAGTAACTGTAAGTGAAATTTCACCTCCTTAGCAACGCGCGCAAGCGCGCGTATGAAGCGGTTAATGGGTCCTTCCAGGTTAATCTCTAACAAGAATAATACTGACTAAAACGGTTCAGGTCTAATAACTTATAAGACAGTATATCTGATGGTCACCATTTTAACTTACCACAGCAGATTGCAGATTCATAAATGACCTTTCCATCGGGCATCTCAATAGTTGGGACCTTTCCCAGAGGGTTCATTTCAAAAAACCAGTCTGGTCTATCCTTCAAGTTGATGTTCACACAATCATACTCGATGCCTTTGGCCTTTAGCACAAGACGGGCTCTCTGCAAAATGTTATTAATTTTACAATGCAAGATCCTCACAGACAAAGAAAAACACAGACTGGATTATGTTGGAGACTCATCGGAATTTAGAATGTCATGTCGTTGATATTTACCAAGCAAACTGAGTGAGGGTCATAGTCAGAAATTCAGATTGCTCGACAGTACCTGTGCATAAGGACAGAACCTCATGTTGTAGAGACGAATGGTATCCCCTTTTCGGGCTGGCTTTTCGGATCCTTTCGAAAAGTGAGTCATTTTCTTCGTTAAAGCGACAGCTCCGTGCAGTATGAATGTTAAGTTGCTTGCCGAATTAGAATTGTGCAGCGTCACTCCCAACCTCGTACCCAGGGCCTTCTCCTCGACGATTTTCAAAATGGCGATGTCACGGTGATTTGGGTATCCCCGAGGGGTACCCAAAACCCTAGTGTTTTGGGTATCCCCGAGTTTTGGGTACCCCCGTACCCAAATCCCTAATGTTTTGGGTATCCCCACTCTCGCACGCTATTCGGCACGCACTAAAACATGTATTTTTTTTAAATGAAATTGCACTAAACTCAGCCTTATAAGTATTAGTCTCGTACTCTATTCGGCACGCACTAAAACGTGTATTTTTTTTTTTTCCATGAAATTGCACTGAACTCAGCCTTGTCTTATAAGTACTAGTCTCGTACTCTATTCGGCACACACTGAAACGCATTTTTTTTAATGCAATTACACTGAACTCAGACTTGTCTTGTAAGTAACAGGCTCGTACTCTATTCGGCAGGCAAAAAAGATGTTTTTTCGTTTAATGAAATTGCACTTGTATATAAGCACTAGTATCGTACTTTATACATCTTATTCCAAAATGGCCGCCATTTTAGTATTCTTTTGTTTACTTGAAAATGAGCCCTTGTTGCCTCGTTTAAGAACGAGGTAAAAAGGGCTAATTTGCAAGTAAACAAAAGAATACTTGAATGGCGGCCATTTTGGAAAAACGTGTATTCGGCGCTTAAAACATTTTTCCATTTAATTATAGTCTCACTTGGCGGTGCTGTTTCCGTTGTGGAGGGCGTTGTGTTACTCATTTTGGTTACGGTACGCCACGGCAAACACGGTCGTTTTAGTCCACAGCTGTTCTTTGTTGGAGGGAGGTCAGGCTTGCTTCAGTGATGTGGTTCAGTGCAAGTTGTCGAATTTTTATAGAGAGATGTGCTTTAGTGTTTTCCAACTTTTTGACTACGTAAATGGGAACTCTTTCGAAACTACTTACGCGTGGATTTCGTAAACACATTTTACAATTGCGATAAATTGTGAAATGGAATCATTACAAATGCGACCTATAAGATACTAGAAAATGTTTTCACCAGTTGTTTCCCGTCAATTTTGAACAAATACTCCTTCGGTACATCATCTAGGGATATGTTTTATTTGTTTCATGAAATGACGGATTCAGTTGAAGCATCTAAGACTTCGTTCCTTAATGTAAGAATGTAAGATTAGTCATTTAAATGTACGTGAATTGCGCTACAACATTTTTCGAGTTTGAAATTAAACACTACTCCCAGTCGATGTGGACCTGGAATGTCTTGCTGACACTTGCTGCTACGTGATCTTGCATAATAACATAGTTTATGCGTCGTACTCTTCTCGGCATGGTACTCTATTTGGCATTTTACACAGTTGCGGCTGACACAGTTGCCCTAAACATAAAGTTGGAAGGGCTTTAGCTTATGGTCTTATCGATAATGATGAAAAGGTAGCTTCTCCTAATCAACATACGCAATTCAAGACTAGAGTACCAAACCCATACCCTATTTAAGATCAAAATGGCCAAAATCGATACCCTATTTATGACCAAAACGGCTGGAAAACCATACCCTTCGGGGCCGCACATACCTATATAGCCCATATAAGGGAGTACCCCCCCCCCCCGATTCAGGGTAGCCAAATCGACCGAAGATAAAAAGGCAAAGCAAATTTACAAAGACGAAAGTCATTCCAATGAGGAAAGTACTAGAAACTGCTAAAATGTATTAGGGGATATTTCCTAGTGATATGGGTATCCCCTTCTAGAGTGTTAGTTTGTTACCGTTTCTTTAGTTTAAGCTAGCCAAATCGACCAAGGATTAAAAGGCAAAGCGGTCGATTTGGCTACCTTGAATTAAAGAAACGATAACAACGAAACATATTGGAGGGGGACACCCATATCACTAAGGATTTGGGTATCCTACTTCTATTTGTTTCCCTATATCCAAAGATTGGCTTTGTCTACTTTATTTATATTTATTTTGTGTTTGTCTCCGAAACAAAGAACTCCCTTAATGACATAGAGAACTGTTCGCCGGCAAAATCTGCTAGGAGGGATGGTCAAGGAAAGAGCGACAAACAACTCTAAGACAACGTTTATTTCAGACAGGCAACATATACACAGAGGTCAGTCACAGCTTGAGACCTGCATATTGCGTGACGGCCGTATCTCAGTGTGTTCCTCGCATATTGACTAAATTCAATCGCAGCACTATCCAAGGTTTAGAATGTGCCTGTCTTGTTTGAAATAACCTGCATTTCAAAGGTTATCGATAGGCAAAAAACGCATGTTCATACAAGGAACTTTGGCGCGTGGATCGGTTTTGTATGTCGTTATAACTGCGGACTCGGATCGGACAGTGTTATAAATTGCGACTATTTTAAGCAACTTTGTGTTTATATCAAGATTAAGAAAGCTCAAATTCATTGAGACACAGCTTCGTAAGAAGATAAATGGTTTTTCAGCAGAATTTTGGATGATTTCACTTACCCCAGTCTGTGGTATTTAACGCTTTCAGTGTTTTAGTGGGGATACCCAAAACTCTAGGAATTTGGGTACGAGGGTACCCAAAACACCTGGATACCCAAATGGTGGAGAAGGCCCTGGGGACGAGGTTGGCGTCACTCCGGCACAGCAGGTTGAACAGCGTTTTACTTCCCGTGCATGTGGATTTCATGCCTCCGTCACGCTATTTTCATCGTCCCCTGGTAAACTAACCAACTGCCACTGTAATCCATATATCAGAAATCGTTTGGCATGAGTAAATAAGCGAAAAAGTTGCCTACACAACGTACAACTGTTACAGTCTTCCAAATGACCCGGAATGCTGTTGTTGCTATGGGCCTTGTTCCCAGGAGACTCTTTCTCCCCAGCCCCTCCCAGCGTTGTACCTAAGCCAGGGGCCGTGAACTGGCAGTTGCAGGAGCCCATCAGTTGTAATTCAACTTCTAACTTCGCAAATTCCTCTAAATTTTGGCTTCTTTTGAATTCTATACGACTATCAAAAAAAAAAAAAAAAAAATTGGGGGGACAAATAATTGTCTTTAGCGAAACGTTCTTGCACTCTTCGGAAGAGGGAGCTAGGTACGGATGACTCCGCGCATGGCCCGCTGTCCAGTCTTAACAAAATGAAAATTGACTCACTTGGGTCGATGCCCTTGATCAGGCCTGGACCTTGACTGAAGAGCAGAAGAAAATGGCCCGCGAATTCTGAGGGGCGGGACGCAGCTTTTTTTTTCTCACTTACTCGTAGTCTAACGTTATGACACAAACGAACAAACGCAAATAAATACATTTTTTTTATTTCCAGGTTGTTTGTGCAAAAAAATTAGCACATATATCTTCTCTAGGACACAAAAATATCAACAACCTCTGTGAATGTCAATACTGTTTGTGTCTGCTGCGTAGAGTAGGGACCACTGGTTTAACTCTTCACGCTTCCATTTCAACATGTATATTCTCCTATTTTGTCTCCATACAATTCGTTTGGTACCAGTTGGAAGAATTGCATTTTCTTGTTGCTTTTATAACTCTCATAGCCTGCGTTAAGTGCTCAGCAGTCGGTGTTGTGAAAAGAAATGGAAACTAAGCACTTGATAGCGGAAACCTAATAAATTTGCTAGGATGTTATTCATTGTTCCATGGCCACATCTTCCTGTTCAAGGGCCTTGATCGCCACTTCTCCACTATGTCCAAGTCTACTCAAGAATGTCTTAAAGGAGGACCTGAAAATGAGTTAGCAGTAAAACCGTTATCATTTCACAGATTGCGAGAACTTTCTAACATTTACTGAAGAATGATTTGCCGCTGTATAAATTTATAGGCTCTATTTGTTGGATTACGATCGACTGGTGTCCCATCTAAGGGGGAGTAAAAATAAAATATTTAAGGAAACTGGAAATTACTGCCGATTAGGTAGGCTAAAAACGTAGACTATGTGGTCTAATTATTTTAAACGCAGACTCTTGTTTTCTTATATATAGGATGTTTTTAATTCTCTAAAAGAAAGCCAAAACATGTTAAAACAACCCCCCCGCCCCCCCGCCAAAAAGAAAGCAAAACAAAACAAAAGAGAAGTGAAGTTTCAAAAACTTAGAAGACTTATTGTCTCCTATGCAACTTTGAATGGTTCGTCACGCAAAGTTGCGTGACTACTCAAAAGAACTCACCTTAACTGCATATCAGTTCCCACTCCCCTCTTTTGCTCGAGTTGTACCACGGCCTGTTTACAGGCGGGAATTAATGCAGTTAGGAGGTCTGGATCGAATGTAGCCAGTGTCTCAAACGTTTTAAATACCAAACCCTGAAAAGAGAGACAGATGGATAAGCAGCCTCATTCACAGAACTTTTCTCGATTTCTAAGAGAAATGGCGTTGATTGATAAATTATTCCCTGCCTGAGTAAAATTAAAATGGAGTAGAAGGCTGAATATAAATCACCTCTCTAGCTCTGAAAGGTTTCGAAAGGATAAACAAAAGCAAACCAATTCTTTTCTCAACCTAATATGTGTACATATTCTTCCTGCCGTCTTCAATTTATTTCTTATAATATTAGTAGACAGAATTTAAATTTTTTCTTGCTGACAGGCTTCTGTTTTTCTATGCTAGCAAGCTGTCATTTATTGAGCGTCAAAACGAGATAAGCTTTTTCCGCTTTCCATCATTCCTCTCTTGGCGTTACAAGTATCTTATAATAAACCCAATAAAAGGAAAATAGTGGGTGTGTTTGTACGCCTTGCGTAACTACGCTAGAGAAACCGTTGTTATACGACGCGTCATTTAGGCTTGCCAGCAAACTTTATCTGTTGTGTACCTATATTTGTTTTCGTTATTGTAGTCATGATACACTTTTCTTACCTGGTGTAGAGTAATTTTGCTGTACAAGAAGTCTCGCAAGTGAGGCAATAGAATATCTCTGTCGAAACAAAAGCAGAGTCCTCAGTAAACGTCTTCCCTCGCTTTATCGAAAAGCAATGCATTAAATTCAATCCAAGTTGTACCTGGAGTTTAATTCTGGTGTTTTCTTACTCGCCCCAAGCATCAAACGTAGGATTTCAGTTGCTAGAAGACAAAAGGAAAAATGTACTTTAATAAACACAAGGCATCTAAAACAAGATGTTCTGTTCTTCCATAGCAATATAAAATAGATAACCAAAGTTGAGTCCTCTGTTGAGGATCTGTTAAAAAAACACGAATCTTGAAGACCCGTGTTCAATGTGGTTGACTGACAACGATTAACAAAGTTTAACGTTTTAGCAACAAGATCTTTAGAAAAACAAAAACAAATAAACAATCGGAGAAGCACGAAAAACAGCAAATAAACATCAGTTATATATTGTAAGTCTCCACCTTGTCTTCTTATCTCAGGTGGTTCATTTCCTTGTGTGAACTGGTTACACGTCAGTAAACAAAACGTGATGGACTCCAGCAGAACAGGAGTGTTTCTGTGAAGGGAAAGCTTAACACTTCAGTGACGTCTTTGATAAAGACCTACGTAGGTGCGCAATGATTGGTTGAAGAATATTCAGCAGTTCGCTTTCTTTGAAGAACGACTTTACACCAAAAATAAAATGCAGTTGGAGAGAATTCAGCTAATCGAGTACTCAAGAAAAACACCAAAAAAACACAGGAAAAACGACAGATTTTAAGCACTGCCTTCTTTACAATTCAGATCAAGAAAGTTCATAACATAATAACAGCGCGGGAAATGAGACGGAGAGAAGGCTACAAGGCCAACTATAAGGAGAACTACAAGGGCAGGAAGTAGATTTGATCATTACCTGGCTGTTTCAGAAGGGCAAAGAGTCCGTTTAAACAGCTGTTCTAAGAAGTACAAAGTCTGCAACAGACAAAAAAACAAACGAAATAATAACCGCATTGCAATTTTTCAGTCAGTGCCCTCAAATTTATTTTCTTTCATGAAGAGTCTTTTGACGTCCAGCCAATATCACATGACTTCTGTAAGTGCTTGAAAACACTCAAGTAACTTTATAATTGGTCTTCAAGCAGTTGTCAGCAACATGGCTTGTTTACTACACTTACCGATGTAAGATTTGCCGGCTGCTGTGGCAAGCAGAGAAAAGATTCCTGGATGATCTCTACCGTGAACTGGCGAAATTCACTGCCATAAGTAAAAGAAGAAAATGTTGTTATAAAGGTACTTTTTTAATTAAAACACTGGCAGAAATTTGCAAGCGGGTTTCGCACATACTTTCCTATCCTCAACTAAAGAATCGTTTGCCACACGTTTCTGCGAATTATTTTTTCTGTTTGCAGCGGAGCCGAGGTAAACTAAACTCCCTGGACAGGAAATTTAGCTGTTTTACACAGATTTCACTACACGTCTGAGAAAGAATTGAAGCTACACAAAATTCCAAATTTCCAGGAATAACCTTTATTTTCCATTTTTTTCCAGGATTGAAAAACTAGTTAGAGGACTCTATAGTTTTTCCGAATTTCCAGACACTCTGAGAACAACTTCTTGTGGACTTCATAAATGTTAAAAAGCAAACGGGCGGGGCTCCCAAGAATTCCTTAGCTTTGCGAGAACGGCCTTACGTTCCAAACTGCAGGAAGGGGACTTACGAGTGAGAGAGGTGTTCTGCGATAGCGCGAGAGTTAGGGGTATACAGAGCCAACCAAAATGAAAGGAAAAACACTGGAGAGAGAGCGGACTGGGGACTGAATCCGTACAAGGTTGTTTGCACTTTTACAAACCTGCACTCGGGGACTGGGTTAGATAAACACGATCCTTTGAGAACAACCTGTCGTAAACAAAGGGCAACAAGGAAAATGATCAAGTTCATTACAGTTGAAATCCTTTTCAAACTGCTGCTTTGGAAACAGAGTTAACTTGTCGTTGTAGAGAGGAGACTCCTGTTAACAGGTTTTGAATAATAAGAATAGGGATCAGAGTGCGTCGAAAAAACCTATGGGATGGTCGATTGTTTAAGAGTTAATATACGTTACGCGGAAATCAGTGAATGTTGTGTGTTTAACACTACAAGAATACGAGTGAATATATGAAAGATCGTATATTTGAACTGCGGAGAAGATATGAAGATATCATAGATCATCGCAGTTGTTATTTGCTAGTTTGCGAAACGACAAACGGCTGGATCGGAGTAACGTGACCGTACAACAAGCAATTTACTTACCATAAACGGATTCTTAGCGGGAACATTAGCCGACTGAGAGGACGTTTGTAACATCTAGGTAAACAGAAAACAGTAACAACATTTCTTTGTATAAAATTCGAATTCAATTTGATTCAGTAGCGGTAGTAAATCTGTCAACAAAACTTAACAATTCAAGCCGTGTTATTGCTCTTACCTGGTTAAAAAGTCGAAAATACGACAAAAATATTTGTTTTATCTTTCTTCGAATGAATTCATCTCGCTTGAAGTCCAAGCAGGCAAGACCCTGTAGAAACTGCGTAGAAACAAGCAATGTGAACTGAGCAGAAATTTCCAAGTTTAAAGCAGATATAGTTTTGTTGTTGCTCTCTAACTCTTTGGAAAAATAAAAATGACAGTACCAAATTAATGGAAACACGGATTTGTATAAGTTATGCAAGACTATCGTACGTGTTTTAACGATCGAAGGAAAAAAAAAAACGACGAAAAATCCTGTAGATCTATAATCAATTATCAAGTGAAAGAGAATTCTACGGGAAGTATACATAGGGTTGTTAATGACTTTCATTCAACCTAAAATCCAAGGAACTACAGAGCGAGTGATAAAAAAAGCCATTCAGAACACAAACTAAAAGCATATAACGGGCGACGGCAAACGAGGGAAAACATGAAACCGGCGGTAGAAAGCGCGCGAAAGTCGCCTGAGGATTCACCTGATTGGACGAGCAGAAAACGCCTTCGCTTTCATTGGTTAAAAAGTACTCGAGTTTTATGAATAACGAGCTATCGAAGCCAGCAAAGCCTCAACCAGCTAAACACAATTAATTTCCCGCGCTGGAAAATCGCGCTACTCTTTCTTTGTCACAGTAGCACGTATACACGCCACAAGTACCTGATGTAAATGAGCCTTGATACACTGCATGACCAGCGGGGCTACTGGTTTCTTGCTGTTTGGTAACGGAAGAGCGAATTGGTCCACCAACCGAGGAAGCAAACACCTGGGCTGAGTCTGAAATGTAAAGATATTGGTTGTGAATCATCCTCTGTGAGAGTAACGGTTAGTTTCAAGTGGAGAGAGGGGTTGCGTGACGACCCTTATAAGTTAGGTAGACACGCTGTGTGACGACCTTAATTTCGGCTGCAAAGGGGACTAGAATAAAGTCTGTAGCGGGCCAAGTGCCAAGTGTACCATACCGCTTGAGCTTATCTCGGTTAGCAACAAGCGACTCCCCTTGAATGGGTCTCCCCCTTGAATGGGACGCTAGTCCATCGTAGGGAACCTCCCTAGCATCCTCCGGTACCCCTTTATACACCTCGGAGAGACGCACTGTTAGAGTAACGGTGTCTTGCCCAAGAACAGGATGCAGTAACCCCAGCCAGAGCCCGAACCCAGACAGCTCGACACAGGGTTCAACGAGCAGACCACAAGGCCACAGGGTTCCTACCAAGAGTGCAGGCTGCAGAACTGACCTCTTGATATTGAAGTGAACTCATGCACACAGATTTTTGCTGGCAAGAAGGTCAGGAACATGAGGAGTATCGACTGAGATGGGTTACGATCATCTTCTTTTCCTCTGAAACGCGCATGCGCTAACCGTGACCCAGCAGTTTTGACGGTTCTACCACAATGAACGTAGAGGCTCATAATTTTGAGTTAATGACAACTTCCATGCCTAACGACTTGCCTTGCTGTAAATGATTTTATAACAATGTTTTGTCAGTAGTCCAGCAACGTGATAAGCCACCCTAACGAGAAATAAGAAAAACAGGAATGAGGACATGCGATTCATACACGGGTCAAAGCAATTCACTTTCTCAGTTACTCTCTCGTGACATAATTGAGTTTTTTTCACAATGCGCTACATTATGTTGGGAAACTTGCCTGAGCTGTCAATGAGGAACAAAGCCTGCTGAGTTACAGACAGAGGCTAAACAACGCAGTATTAGACAAAGATTACACTACCAATCCCATCTTTACCGACCACGGCGTGGCAGGGAACATCAGTAGGGGAGCTGATTGGTTTTCTTACCTCAGCAGGTCGGCAGGTCCCGCAGTTTTTATCACGTGATCGACATACTTCATGACGTCACCAAGGTATCTTTGAACCTTCTCACGAAACTGGATTGACTCGTCAAACTTGGTCTGTAGTGTGGTAAATAATATAGAAGCTGTGTTAACGCAGTAAGATAATACCTCCCTGAAACCACTATTTTCATTCACCCGCTGTAAACACTGCCTTTATTATTTTCAAGGGCTGGGGATGTTATTGTGATCTGTTATTTAATGTTCTCAGATCCATTGGAGCAACTCCTGCGGTGAGGTAGTGGGTGATCCTATTAACTTTGGTGATCTCAACATTGGGCGAACAAAGCATAAAATCTAGTTTACTTTACTGCCGGTATCAAACGCGTTTTGCTAGCACAGACAATTAACCTGTGGTAGACAATCTACAAATTGAAGCATATAGTCTTAGGCTCTCTGATTTTCAAAGCTTCAGTTACTACGTAAAGAAACGGCAACGTTGATAAAATCTTCACTAGCGTAGTGGTTTGTTCAGCAGAATAGCTTCTCTCCGTGTATGGGGTGCTCATCCATGGTACGCTCTCTCATAGCGTTTCGTCAGGCTTTTTTGACATTGATCGACCGATTGATTGGTTTTGTTTAATGACAATGGGTTTATTTTTCACTTGAATGACCACTTGCTACAAATGCTTACCAGAGAGGCGTGATAGCGGGCGAGCCCAATGATAAAAAGTTGAAGTGATGTTTCGCTACTTTCACCAGTTCCAAACCCAGGCTGAAAGAGAAGCAAGTGTAAGTCAGTCATCAACAAGGCATTGCTGTTGACGATTTTTGACACAGCGCAGTCCTCACTTGTAACATTCCAAAAAAATCAAATTACAGCACCTGGCTCCTTTGAATCGTCTCCATCTCGGGTAGCTTACCAACTGTTCTGTAAGGACAAAAGTAACACGAAAACAAGAAAACAAATTGAATATCAGGCAATCATGTAATTTACTTTATTTGGACCCATCAAACAGGGCCCTACCCAGTTCCAGGCGTTCATTTAGTTCGGAAGCAGCACCAAGAACGCCACGAGAGAAAACAGGGGAGGGATTGGGGAGAGGCGCAAAAGTTCTCTCGCTTTCCCGCGTCGCACCAGTCCCCTATATTTCCTCTCGCCATTTTTTGCGCTGCTCGCCAACTAACCAAACGCCTGGAACAGGCTAATTAGGGCTCAGTGAACTTAGAGTTACTCGGAAAGGGAGGAAATACCTCGTAAGTTCCGTTAGCCCGTCGTGCGAAGGAGGAAGCTGCAACAGACATCTGAACCAAGCATGGATGATACTTCCTTCCATCTTTTCTGCCTGAATTGCCGCCAGTGCAGCCGAGCAAGGTAATATGTGACACAAGAATCGACAACAAAAGCTGCAACACACAATAAAGTACAGAAATTACCCTTTGTTACCTAGCGCGAAATGAGAATTCTCCAAACTGATCTCCAGGCATTTCTACGTATATCAGTTGTGAGAATTTTACAGTGCACTATCAAAACATTTCCTAAGACTTCGAACACTCTTCCTTATCCTTAAATAAACAAAACTTGTTGAACAGCTCATAAAAAAATCAAGGACGCCATCCACATCAGACGCTACGAATTATCCAACATTTTCAACTGCTACTACGCGACTAAATGTAAATTAAACCACGTGACAAGGCGGAGCTCAGCTCAATTTGCTGAAGAAGACTATGAGATATGGTGGAAAGGTTCGTTTGCTTTACATTGCGCACCTTGTGACAAGAACTATTATTATTTAAATCAACCCAAGGTGAAGTGGCTTAGTTTATAGTCTACTCGCCTTCTCGTATGCCCTAGTTGTTAAATTTCTTTGTCTTCACTACCTACCTGCTTGACAATGTATTAATGCAATAAAGGAAGGTAGGAGGTAAAGAGAGGTCCATGCTGAAGGAAAGACAATCTTAACAAAAAACGCATTTACGACAGAACTCGCATGGACTACGATGGAACAGTTCCCTTAGCAGTTAATGACCCCTTATGATAAAGTTATGCACAAAATCGGAAAGCATTTACAGCTGCAGCAGCGGTTCATCCGCCCCCGTGGTTATTAGGTAACATACCTGGCGGACATCTCGTCTTTAACACCAAGTTCTCGGAGAAGACTGGTAAAGGACACGCCTGCTGTGCCTGCAACCTCTTCAGGGTATCTTAAACAATTATGTGAAACATACATGTCTGGTGAAAACTGTACCAAAGTACACAAGAGCAAAACTTGTTCCCAAGTGTCTAGGAGCAAGGAATCAGTACAGCGTATAGAGAGGTGACATTGGGGTCAAAGACCTCATTTCGAGATACTGTTAAACAAATCCCACAGTAAAGCAAACCTCTACAACTTAGAGATGTTTCTTAGGAAATCCGGCCAAGTTATTTTCGCGAGGCGATTCACGCAACCAAGAAATTGGTCGTTTTCTTTCCTTACACGAAAAGGAAGTAACACAATAGAGTAATACCCTACCTGTAGGAATCCTGGTGGGGTCGAATACTAAAAGAAGTTAATCTGTTTCATCGAACTACCCCTTTCTACACTCAATCGGCAACTGCTATTGGTCAGATTAATTTTAAGCAAGGCAACAAGGTCTACTATTGTTTACCTGTCAAGCGCAGAGAGAGTAAACGCAGCCAAAGTATCAGCCAGGTGACTGGACGCTGCCTGCATACACACTGCATCACACACTAGAGCTCTCACGTGACTAAACACGTGCTTCCACATAACAGTGACAGCGTCTGAGAACAGAAACAGTGAAATGAGGAAACACGTGATCTGCAACTTGCCATCGCCTTCTACGCTTAAGCCCGTTACGATCCTTGAGATTGGAGGAGGGGCCAGAATTACTAGACTCCTAGATGGCATGCTACTCACATCGCAGGTTACCTCCTTAGCGTCCTGGTAGGTTTCCATAGCAGTTGCCAAATGCCCACATATATTCTCCTGGGTGGAGAGAGGCACTATGAGAGTAGAGTGTCTTACCCTGTCCTGTTTTAAATCGCATGAAAAAAATAACGATTGTAAGCTCTCCCGATTAGAGCAAAATAAACCTCTTTATCTTCGTGTAATGTGACATTGTCTTGTTGGAGTCTTGCGAAGTTATCTTTTCATGTTAGTTACCTGAAGACCCTGTCTTTTGCCTGCTGCTTTGCCTAAAATTTAAGTAAAGAAAGAAAGCTAAGGTAAAACCAACGATAGTGGACGCACAGTATCAGGGATCTTAAATGTACTTTTTCCGCCCTGCGCAGTGTAGTACGCAGGCGCTTTCTTCCAGCTCACAACATTTAGCGCGAAACTTCATGACATGACTGAAGGACATACATGATCTATTCCCAGACGCTTATGGGTCCTTTGCAAGCGAAAGAACATCTAGGGACTAGGCCCTAGCAAATGCAATCTCAAGTCAGGAAAAGCTAAAATAAGTACACACATGAAAACATTCTCTTTTTCACCGTACGTTAACGAAGTGAGGGTGGTCTGCACAAACGTCAGCAAGTATCGAAGCTCATTGTCGCGACACGAAAGAAATAGAAACTGAAATCCGTCAACTGAAAAAATAAAAAAAATCAACAAAAACAATCTTTAAAAAGTAGAATATGCTATCCAAGCAGTATCGCATCTACATAAAATGATTTCCTAGAAAAATAACGAAAGATATGAAAAAACAGGTCTGCATCAACATAACAGGCCAAAAGGGAGGGTACAAAGTGAGAGCTGTAGTCAATGCCGTTGTTATAATAATGTTTATAATAAAGTTGCTAGAAGTGTTGTTAATGGTGTTTTTAATGACATTGTAGCGAGAAGAACAAGACAGCACGCCTTTTCTATACACTCAAAAAATACCCGGTTTGTTACTGATAACTTACCAAGAAGTTTACTCTCAGACAAGTCTTGTTTGTTTCTGTGATCAAACACATCTTGTGTGCTGTCCAGGTAAAGTGTTATCAACTGCCAGCAATGTTTCTGATGACTTTTGTCTCGCGAACAAGACTCCGCGTAATCTCTGAAAGGTAACCAAAAAACACCATTTGGTTTCCCATAGGACGCCATGTTTCAGCGTACCTATCTATGTCCACAAAAAAAAGAAAGCGTTTTAAAATTCCAACTCTCATTCCATGACCTTAAAAAAAGTTGGTTAAATCCCCGAGCCTTCTTATGCGCTCACCTTGCAACAGTTGCAAAATTCTGTGACAACCTTTCAGCCACGTATGCAAAATCCACGTTCTTTTCTTTGTAAATAAGAATCAAGGCAAAGAGCCCTAAAAACCAGAAAAAACAGTCAGTAGGACAAGCTAAGATTATGTTATGGTAAACATGTTGGCCAAATAACACAAACTACACTATCACTTGTTAAGTCTTAGTTGGATTACGAGTAAACCTGCGAGAATTTCAATTTCAGTTTTGTATCTTTTTGGTAAGGTGTTCTGTTTACATCGTTTGCCCTTGAGTTTTGAGCTGCAATCTCAAACTACACCAAACATAAGAGGTAAAAAACATTTTTAAACAAGAAAAAATAATACTTCAGTTAACGTTTAATCCTGGGTTAACGTTAACCGGCTTTCGAACAACCCGGCCTAGCTCTCTGATTGGTAAAAATGCATGACGTTGAAAGAGAAATGGGCCAATCCCTTTTACCGCAATTTGCCTTACCATAAATAAATATAAATATAAATATATACATTTATAAAGCGCCATTTTCCACTAATTGTCCATGGCGCTTTACAATACTTACCATTGCTTTTATCAATCATTAGATCAAGTCAGTATTTATATTTTATATTTCTTTGTTCATCTTTGCTTTTTTATTGGTCCCATTTTGCCAATTTTCCAGTCAAAGTGGCAAACACCTATTCATTTGTCTTTATACCTATTGTCACATGCTATCGTTACATACAAGCCCTACCTTTCCAGATACACACTTTCTTGTCCTGTTGCATCTTGTTGAAGTCCAGTAAGTCAAGAAAAGAACACATCTTGTTCGCCTGTTGTAGACAACAAATATTATAATCCATCAAATATTTTCGCTCGCGCGAGATTGGTCTAAACGCGTCTCGTGACTGAATATGCCCCAGCTAAAACTGGGGAATATCCGAGTGATATTCCCCAATTATTGAAGGATATTAAACACAACAGGCTCCATCTGGCGCGAAAATATGCTCGGATATTTGTCCTTGTACATTGTCTGTTCCTCGAAGCTCACAGTTTCGGGACAGATTATGTCCACGGACAAATATCCTAGCATATTCTAGGGCCAAATAGAGGCTATTGTTTATATGAATCCATTTCTAACTGAACTACTAACATATATGCAAACAGAAACTAGGCATTAGTAGACAGATTTGAAACAATTAAAAGTTTAAATTTTGATGATGTACGTCGTATAAGTAAGCCCTTTTTCCCTTCCTAAACAACCGCCATCCCCAGACAGGTAAACCGGGTGAACAGGTTTCTGACGTTACTGGTACTCAGCACCGCACCATATTTTCTTGAGTATTGTATCAAAATTGGCTTTGAGACAAAAGGTTGTAGTTCTGTCAGCATTTCACCATAGACCGTACAAGCAGACCCCTCTTTCCCTTTGCCCGTCCAGAGAGAAGCGAAGAAAAAAGGCGACAAAATAAAAATGGACGTGCAACAGATAGAGGCGCTTCTCTCTAAACAAACTAAGAGAAAGCAGGGATTGCTCGCAGTTAACTTACCACATCCTCGAGGTCTGCTACACATGAGAGAGTTAGGAACAGACTGATAAACTGATGTAGTCCTGTGCTGTTCAGTTCTTCCATACGCCGCTTGTGGAACTTGGAATAGAATCTTAGAGAAGAACATAGACATACTGCAGTGACAAATACGTCACGTTCGACCAATATTTAATTTAAGACATGGAAAGAACAGGCTAGTGATTGGCCAACTAAACGAAGTAACGAATGAGAGAGTGAAAAAAAGAACGAACAAGCGGACCAATAAACGCGAACTTTCAAGGGAGCGAGCAGGTCAAAAACGTGCATGTATACATCTTTTAATAAACGAACAAATATGAAAGTGCGATGGTAGAAAATGAGCATTACCTCTGTAAATCCCCGTCTTGCAATGGTCGAAAGAAGATTTTCACAACACCTGACTAGCCAAACTAAACCGGTCGCTCATGTTAACGTAAAGTAACAACCGAATTAGGTTCAAATCCAATCTTACCTTCCTTTGATTTGTTTCCACGCTTGTAATGAACCACTGTGCAGTAGTTTAGTAAGATGAACGGATACAAGCCGCAAGAACAGAGTCAAACTTGACTCGTGTTCTGGAATAACCGCGCTGAAAGAAAAGCAGAAGCAACTGTTGGTGGGTGAAAAGTGGACAGTACAAAATGAGAAAAACTCGCGGGAAGACTCGCAAGAATTTTTTTCTCGCGAGTTTTCCGCTGCTCGAGTGGATCGCGGACTAGTAAAGCGCTCGGTACATGCCAGGATACTCAGAGCTTATTTGTTCCGTGAACCAGTCAGAACCTAAACAGAGAAAAGCAAGGCAGTGCGAAAATACGCGGGGAAAAGGTCGCGTGGAACTTACTACTGCTTAGCGTGAAACAAATGCTACGCAGGGTTGAGGTTGGAGAGTACGAGAGTCTCGGCGAAGTACGTTTTATTCTCGCTTCGCTGCAAGAAATAGCGAACTCACGTTTGCTGTGTTTCCTTGGATCTTTTAAAACACTGTTCCATCCACTGAAGAGCAGAAGAGCTGCAAAGAAATACCACACGTACATTATGTACAAATACGTGATCGGAGAAATGTTTGTCCTGTGTAAAGGTTGTTGTTGTTGTTGTTGTTGTTGTTGTTACACGGGAGTACGGTAGTGTAACAGGATAAGGGTTAAGCAGACTTGCTTGTGGGGTCGCGTTTGTAACTACCACAAACAAAACAAAACATTACAACATACCTGACAACAGTAAACCCATGAAGAGATTGGCCAGGGACGTGAAATGAATCGTTCTTTATAGGAGAAAAAAAAAATAAGGTAAAACATTGAAAATTGAACGGAAGCGTACCAACGCCCGAGTAATATTTACTCTCGGGATTCAAACCAAACTTTGCTCAACTGTTGTCTATACATCTTGAATAATTCGGCTTGGAAGAATTTCGTTTCAGTCATCAGGTAAAGCCTTCATATAAATAGATCCGGAGAAAAGACAGGAAGGTAAGTCTACATATGAGGTGTACATTCTTTCTGCGCATCCTCAGAAGAAGAAAAAAAGTTGATCGGTTGCATTAACTTCGCATGCAGTTTATTCTCTTAAATGGCCGGTGACGCTCTCTTTTCTTTTCATAGATCAGCTCCTTTACTGATTCTCTCCATTTTAACACAAAAACGACAAAAAAAATTGTGGTTATAAGAGGTTTTCAACATTTCGCTTTTGCGTCTGACATACAATGGAATTTTTCCTCTTATTTCGGTATGAAAATCCGAAGAGGGATATAGGTTGGAAAATATTGCTAAATAGGCCTGTTGTTGCAAAAGTGCCAAAAAAAAAAAATCTGAAAATGGGAAAATTTTGGCGCGAACATCCACTCACCATTCTCTTGTGGAAATAATCCCAGAGCCACAGAATGAGGTCGGAGTTTGCAGACCAGTGATATGATAACGACACACAACAAAGAAGACAGAAGCGCCGATGAGATTCTTCATGACTGTCCTAAAAGGCACAATAGAGAGATTGTTAGTTCAACAGGTCTATAAAACAACAATCGCTCTTTGAAAAAATATTGAAAATATCATGATCATTGAGAGGCAATGTCGATAAAAGGATCATTGAGATTATAAACAGACTAGAGATGGTTCACATGAAATGTTTTGACAAGCATAATTTCCTTCGCGGTGACGTGGTGTTTAATTTCTTACCTTATTACTTAGAAGAGAGGATTTAAGTAAATCTTGGGCTAGCACCCAATTTCCTGGGACACAACGCTAGCAGAAAAAGAACAAAGTATCAATAAAAGTGAATTTGAGCCACGCCTGCAGGACGCAATTCCGTTACGTGTTAGGGGTTTCTTTCAAAATTCCCCTCCCCGAGCTTTATAGTCTGTGTCCAAAAGGATGTTACCCCTTCCCTTGCCTGAGTGGAACGGGTAAATGTTGAGGCTACAAACAGACGTCAGATTAAAACAGGTCTGTCTTCCTGTTTTTCCCTCTGTCCCTCCGTCTGTCTGTCTGTCTTGCTGTCTGTCTGTCGGTCTGTCTGTCACCATATGTTCAGTTGCATAATGGAGGGTGGCGTGACACAGGGTCTAATACTTACTGCATATGTTCGCTGCTTTCGTTTTACCTTTTTCTTGTGCGAGTAGACTCCTTTGTCAGTAAACCAGTAAAGAGGCGACAAATGCGTCAATAACCACCAACAGAAATTGACAGGCGTCTTCACTTTGAAACCGGGGGGAGCTAGAAAGGAGACGCATTAGTCAGCAGAGAGACAGGGTATTGTTTTTGATTGTCACCGTTTTTGAGAGATATGAGATGAAGGTTCAACTACGTCAGTAGAGTATTTTATATATTCGTACCGCAGGACTGGGCCCAAGGCTGCGTAGAAGAATCCTGGCTATCTGATTCTGTCTCTTTGGGATGAAGAATCTCCGACATGATGGAAGACACCGCTGACCAGAATGACTAAGAAGGAAAATCGGCAACGTTTAGGATGGAAATTGCCATAATCTTATTATGCAATTAGCATCAATTCCAGCATATTTTGAGAAAAAGGGCACAATAAATAGAGTTTGTAACTTGAGAAGTGCTGAAGTTAGAGATCCATCAAGTACTTTAACTATCGGATTTACTCAAAGTGACAAATAATCTTCTGATTGAAATTGAGAAGGCTTTTTTCCCTGATTGTTGTCTTTCATGTAATAAACATAGGGTGCGTTCCTTTGGGGTGATCCGGATCAGTGATCCAAGATCACTCTGATCATGGTGCATCAAAGGAACCGACGAATCCACTCTGGTCACGGATTCATCGGTTCCTTTGATGTACCATGATCTGAGTGATCTTGGATCACTGATCCTGATCCAGATCATCTCAAAGGAACGCACCCATAATCTGTCTCTCATACCTCAAGCTCTGTTTTGGTGCTCAAGTGATCCATAAGATGGATAAACATAATCCACAGTTCACATACACAGCCACACGGGAATGGACATACTTGAAGCATGCTGGACTGACTTTCCTTTAAAATAAAACACCTAAAGTCAGTTTAAGCTGAAATTCTTCAAAGCCCGGGAGAAAATTAGCTTTAAACGGAGCTAAATAGGGGGAGTTAGAAAGTCTTAATGTAGTCATGTAGGTGCAGGACTAAATTAGACTGTTAAAATAACCGAACCAAAACTCTATTCTTTCTTCACCTCGTGGTTAAATAATGGGAAAGAAAAAAGAGGAACAATTGTCGTTTCATGTCTCATTCTTTAGAGGAACTGAAACTCTGGATCCAATTTGCCATTACAGTACAAAGTGTAACGTTCAGGCCATACGAAAGAAACAACTGATCATGAACAATAATTTGTTTTGATGTCTAACTCAATTCTCCGAACTAATCACTAACGAAATGTTTAATGACGGGTTAAGAGAATTTGTACTTTGTTCAACGTGAGACACACCTTGCTATAGATAGAGGCAGCTAGTGCTATCAAGTCCCAAAGAAATGAAAATGTGTATTTCTTGAGGCTGTTGATCACATCGGCAAAGTGATCCGCTGACAAACTGTCGAGCTGAGCTGAAATTGAATCATAGAGGAACACTTAGGCAAGTTGTGTTGGGGGGATGGGG